AAACTTAACTAGTTCTCTGAAGCAATTAGCCTCAGTAAGTAGTTGTTTTGACTGACACACAACTCGTATGATATTAAACCAGGAAATCCACATCATCACAAGACACAGAGACTGCTCCCAAGAGGAAACTCTCTCTCTCTCTCTCTCTCTCTCTCTCCCTCTCTCTCTCTTAATCAGGCCAGAAATCCAAGGGCTCCAATATAACCTTTACCTTGGAATCGTTCTGACAAGCCCTTGGAGCTAATATCTCCACTGTAGATTCATAAAAATCTGCCATGTGTATTCTACACTCATGTGAAAAACAAAACAAAACCAACAACAATTTAAAAAAAAAAAATGTTTTTTCCCAAAGTCCTGGGAATCACCTTCAGAGAAGGTTTTGGGTTTTTTTGTTTTGGTTTTTGCTCCTCATGTTAATATCCTATCATAGAAACATGAACCTAGGTCCAACTATAAGGAAAAGTTCATTGTCCTCATCAATATCCAAATATATGAACTCTTGGGTAATCCAGAAAAGCCAGAAGAACAGAGCTGTCTCAAATAAGCACATGTTTTCCTGAGCCAGTCAAAGCTCAATTATTTGGGCCATGATTTGCTTCTAATCTTGAGCTTAAGAGTGTAATGTTGGGGAACTGGGCTAGCAGCAGCTGAGGGAGGAGAGTGACAAAAATTTGAGGCCAGCCTCAGCTACAGAGTAAGAACTTGCTTCAAAAGAAAATGAAACACGATAATCAAAGGACAGTTTTAAGTCAGGAGAGAGTGGGGCTCAGGGGTAGAGTGACTTGCCTACATTCTAGAAGGCCCTGGGGTAAGAGCATAGAGCCTGGAAATTAAATCCAATCATTATGCAAGAACCTTTATAAAAATCATCATTTAAAGCAGCTTGTACTAGCAAATGAAAGAGTTGAATTAGCATGTCCTTATCATACAAGGAAAATGAAAGGAATCTCTTCACTTGTTTTGTTTTGGGGCTACCATGTAGCTGAGACTGGAACTCTCAGCCCTAAGTACTTGGTTAAGTATAGAGAACTCGAAACCAAAAACATTGTTTCTTTCTTTGATTGTTTTTAATCCTCAATATCACCAACCACTTTAGCAACCAAGCAGAACTCTGCACCTTTAATAAAGAGACAGATTAGTAAATAAATAATATAGTTTTAAAAACTAAATAGCCCAGCATGGTTTTACATGCCTATACTTCTAGCAGGAGAGCAGGAGAGCCAGAAGCTGCAGTTGCAAGCCAACCTGGGCTAGATTTTGAGACCCTGTCTCAAAAAAGTCAATCTGTTGACTACTAAAACTACAGTGGGCTTGCCAAATGACCACACTCACTGTGTGATCTGGTGAATGTAGGTTCAATTTTCAGAACGCACAAAAAGGTGAAAGGAGAGACTTACCTTCACAAAGCTGTCATCTGATTGCCTACACATGCCTCTGCACATACACATACGTGTTCACACACAGAAAAACAATAAATTATTTTAAAGAAAACTATTGAGGGTTCTGGAGAGATGGCTAAGGGATTAAGAGTATAAAAGGACAAAAGTTCATTTCCCAGCACCCACATGGAGTTGGTCACAACCGCCTGTAACTTCAGCTCAAGACAATCTGACTCATTCCTCCAGACTCCTCAGGTACCTGTGCTCATACACAAACAAAGCAAAAACAAAACAACAAAATCCTATACAAGCCGAAGACAAGGCTCAGTGGCTAAGAGCTCTTGTTCCTCTTCCAAAGAACCAGAGTTTATATCCCAGCACCCACATCAGGCAGCTTACAAGTGGCTCTTTCTGGCTTCTTCAGACACACACACACACACACACACACACACACACACAAATAATGTAAGCCTTGGGGCTGGGGAGATTTCTCAATGGTTAAGAGCACTGGTTGCTTTTCCAGAGAACCTGGGTTCAATTCCTTACACCCACATGGGAGTTCACAACCTTCTGTAATTCCAGTGCCAGGGGATCCAACTCCTTCTTCTGGCCTCGAAGGCACCAGATCCACATATGGTGCACAGATACTCATACACATGAAATAATTAAAAAAAATTTTAACTAAAATAAACAATGTCTTAGCCAGGCAGTGCTGGCCCACACCTTTAATTCCAGCACTCAGGAAGCAAAGGCAGGTGGATCTCTCAGTTCCTAGGCCAGCCTGGTCTACAGAGCGAGCTCCAGGACATCCAGGGCTACACAGAAAAAAGCCCTGACTCAAAAAACCAAAATAATAATGATGATAATAATAAATATGTCTTTAAAAAAAAAAACCTATGGAGATTGCCATAAAATAATGTTGCTGAATTTTGAAAGCTACACAATTCTGAGAAGGCAATAATGGACAGAAAGATAAGTCTGTTTATATTTAGAATTTGGATTTTAAAATGAAACAAAACACTTGCTGGCTCAATAATGCAGAGTTCGTTCTATTCCATCTACTCAGGGAATAAACAGGAGGGTCACAAGTCTTAGACCAGCCTAGATGATATAAAGGAGGCCTATCTCAATAAATATATAATGAAAGTAAGAGGGGGGGGGTAGCTCAGTGGTAAAGCATTTGCACACTAGACTCTGTGAGTTCAAGTCTCAGATGGGGACAGATGAAAACACTCTGGCACTGCTGGAGCTCACTGGAACCCAGCACAACAAACACTCTGGCTGAAATAGTATGTTGCACCTAGCCAGGTAAAGGAAGACCAGAGGCTTAGCTCTGCCAACTTATCTGCATTTGATGAAGTTAATCATGAAGCTGGCAAGAGTGAAAAACCTGATCCTCCATTCTTTGCCCCTGCAAAGTTAGAGGCCTCCGGTATCTACATCAGAACAAGGGGAAGGTCAAGGTGGACATGAAAAGTGCAAAAACCCAAATTACCTTTCCCCTCTTCCTCCAGTTTCCCTCTGACAGCTGTGTTTGGTTAGCACCCCCCACCCCAAATCATCACATAGGGTTCTGAGGGACTACTGTGCAAATGACTGGCAGTGTGAACCCCGAAAAATGCAGCCTTCTTCTCTTGGCTCGAGGCTTTGGTCCATTTAGAGGCTGTGCTCTAGGCCGACAACTTTTGCCATTCAGGTGTGGCACCTGTGCTGTGGCCCACCCTCTTCTTTCCTTGGTGTGACTCCACAGTTAGATCCTTTATTATTGATTTGGTTGATTGGCTTGTTTTTGTTTTTGTTTTAGAGTCTCCTTGTAAAGTCCTGGCTTTGCCTGGAACTTGCTTTGTAGACCAGGCTAGCCTTGAACTCAGAGAGCAACTCTTGGCTCTGACTTCCAAGTGCTAGGATTAAACACATGAGCCACCAAGCCCTGCTTTCCAGCTGCTCTAAACTCTCCAATCCCCTGTGTTGGCCTCGTCAGTGCTAGAATAAAAGGCATAAACCTGAGACTACATTTTCATTTTACTTATTTAATTACATTTATTAATCAATTGATTGATGTGTGGGTGTGTGTTGTCCCAGGTGCCACTCTGGTGTGTGGAAGTCCCAGGACAACTTGTAGGAGTGTTTTCTCCTTCCACCTCCGTGAGAGGAGGATGGAACTCAGGTCCTCAGGCTTGGGAGCAAGCCACCTCACCATCGTGAGGAACCCAGTTTTAATTTGTAGTCCTCCTAAGGAAAACTCTTTGGTGAGTCACTACCAAAAACTGGAGAGGAGAGACGTTTGACTTTTATCTCAACTAAGTAATGGGAAAAACAAAAACAAACCAATAATGGCCTGTAAGTACCTAGAAGACCATATCTGTTCATCACTTTGATAAGAATAAGGAAGCCACATCACTAAGCGCCTTAGGACAGTACTGGAGTGCCAGTCAACTTTTACCTAATTAAAACAGAGTCACTTATCCGAAAATTTCCACTTCCATTCATTTTAGCCGATTCCTTAAACGCCCAGGGACTGCAGACAGATCAGCTGTCATATTTGGGAGACTCTACTCTGTTCTCCACATTGAGTTCTCCGCTGGGAACAACAGCTAAGCTTCCTCCCGGTGTGGCCTCCAGAAGTAACCCTCTACAGGAAGAACCCCCCTCGGCTCTGGTTAGCACTTAAATGGGCCGCCCCAGTCACCCAAACCTCCGAAATGCGCGCTAACAATCCGCGTCTAGTCTCCTGTGCCTCGAAGCGGCCGATCATAGTTTTTCAAGAGGAAAAAAAAAAAAAATCTTTTTCCCCCTCTATGGAAAAAGTCTCACGTCTACAGGAAACAAGATGCGGCTGAGTGTATTTGCTCTTCCAAAAGCTGACGCTTTCAAATCTTTTTTTATAAACCCTTTAACTTCCCACTAATGAAAGAAGGCCATCAAATGAAAGATAAGTACTAAAGGGGAAGAAGAAGAGAGAAAGAGATTGTTTTTTTGTTTTTTGTTTTTTGTTTTTTGTTTTTTTTTTTTTTTTTTTGCAAAAATCAGGACCCCCTGGAAGATTCAGGGACAGTAGTAAGGACTGCCAAAAGTCCACCTTACCTTCTGTAAGTGCTTGGCGTCGCCCACTTCAGAAATTAATACCACTCACAGCCCGGTGGCGTTCTACAAGGCTAGGGGGTCACCTATAACATCTTCGCTGGCAGCCCCCTTTTTAACTAGACAAACCAAATTAAAGAGTCTCCAAGCTGCTCCCCACCGTGCGGCTTAAAGCAACAGATCGCTCTAGGCTTTAACTCTGCCGGGCTCTGGGAATTCCAGTTTGTCACAATTTCTCAACCAGAGCGACCTGCGGAGAGAAACTCCCCCCCAAGCCCAGAGCCCGGCTTCTCGGGGTCCCGGAGCTCGGCGGCGGCCGGCTGGGCTGGGTCGTACGAGCTGGCTGCGGGGCGGCTGTGGCCCGGGCGGAGCTGCTCGGGGTCGGGTCCCGTGGAGCGTGGCGGAGTCCGGCAGCGCTTGTTGCCTCTGCAATCCCGGCTCTTCCCGGTTCCCTCCCTCCGCCTCCTGCCCTCCCCCAGACGAGGCCATTCGCCTCACAGTAGCAAGGTTGTCTCGTCGACTCCCTTCCCTTAAACTCACCAAACCAGATTTTTACTCCCAACACCGGCAACTTCCCGTAAATCTGCACTGAAATTTTATCCTGCTCGCTGAGCCTCCGCTGGCCGAAGGCCAGTGCAACATTCCTGTTGTTTTAGGAGCGCGGATACCTTAGCTGAAGGTTTAAAAAAAAAAAAAAAAAAATCATATCGAACTGGCCCCGATTGTACGACTTAGGAACTTTGGCGGCTCAGAAAGTCACATCCATTTCAGAGCTGCAGAAGGGACCCCAGAAGTGGCACCTGCCCCACCTGGGGACATCTGGGAGAGCGGCTTCCGGCCGCCCGTGGCTGTTCCGAGCAAGCCACCCTGAGCCTGCACCGAGGACTAATCCCCGAATCCCCGGGCGAGTGCCACCACCCTGGCCTTGCGGGGCAGGAAGGCGCTGGAGCAGGTAGGGCGGCAGCGAGCCCGGCCGCGGGCCTGCAGGAAGCCAGGACCTCTTGGGCTGTCCTTACCTGAGGCCGAGCATGTCTCAGAGAGAGCCCTGACAGGCTCGTCACGGGGCCCAAAGCCCTGACCTTTGCCGGGGCCTTCACAGCAGGGCCTGGGGCCTGGGCGCCGCTCGTTCAAAGTGGCTCATTCTTAATGCGCTCTGACCTAGTGTTACAGCTGGTTTCTAGAAAGGGAACAAAAACAGTGCATGGAGAAACTGCAGCCAAGCCCTCCCTTAACCTTGCCTCTGATCACTGCAGAGCTGGCTCCAGATCCGACCCCAGCCCCACTCCCACGAAACCCACCCAAGGGCCTCGGTCCCCGCCCCACCCCTCGGGTTACCTGTTTATACAAGAATTAAGGAGCCTCCTGCATTTCAATGGAGCGCTAAGCCTGTTTGGAGGCGCGGAATCGGCCAACAGGAATCGAATTCTGTGACTAAACAAACTAGAAGAGGAAGCGGGCACCACCAGGAACCTAAAGTTGTGATTTCGGGTTGCAATGTCATGCAACTGGGGGGGGGGGGGGGGTACTGTTTAGCAGAAGGCTACTTTAATTAAAAGAATGATCCGAAACCGTTTCCCCCCCTCTAGTTAAATGGATTGACAGGAAGCTTAGAAAAATATCTGCATATATAGTATTAGCCACCGTTGTTAGTGGTGTTATTATCATGTGTTATGGTTTGGTTTTTTTTTTTTTTTTTTTTTTTTTTTTTTTTTTTTTTTTTTTTTTTTGTTTTTTTTTTTTTTTTTTTTTTTTTTTTTTTTTTTTTTTTTTTTTTTTCTGTAGAAAAGGCGCAGTGAGAGAAGGAGGCTCCAGACCCAACCCTGCGCCTCATTATCTGTGAGGCTGTAGTGAGGCTGTGAGCAAGTTATTTAGCCACCAGCTCTGAGTTTCTGGAAGATTCTAAGGGTAGGGGTTTTGCGTTCAGTGTGGACAGTATCAAGCAGAAGGGGAAATGGAGTCTTTGTAAAGGGGCGTGCAACTGACTTTCGCCTCTGGTGGAACTTTCAAGATTGACAAGGGACGCGGAGATACGTTTGCCCGGGGTCCCATGAAGTTCACTAGTGGGCTCAGCAACCAAACGCCATGTCACGATGCATAAGGCCGGTTCGGATTTAGGCGCTTGACCTGCGGCGTCACCCTGCTAGTTACTCTGTAGGTTAAAGGTCGGCGCTAGATAACAGTAAGCGGTGCGGTTTGAAAATCTGTGCAATGCAGAGGGAGAGGGGGGCTTGGAAACTCATAAATAGCGTCAATACTAACTAATACTGGAGGCTGAAAGAGAATTTGACATATAAATGAAGAAATGCTAATCTCCCTATGCTAAGAGCTCTGTTTCTCAGGGACACTTTCACCCATTTTCCCTAATCTGATCCTCAGGTCTGTCCCACTTCTGGAAGTGAAAACGCTTGTCCACACAGAGGTGAGGGGAGTCTTTCCCTGAGCGCAGGCTTCTCTAGTCTAATCTAAAAGAAGCATCTTACCACTATTAGAAGTAATTCCTAAAGCCAGCCAGGAATTCTGAAGCTTTAGATCCCTTTGATCTTTCATCTTTTTAGGCAGCATAACTCAAGCCGGACCAGTTTAACCATGTTCTGAATTCTAAATCTAGTCTTTGTCAGCAGGTGTGCCTGTGCACTGGGAATTAAAGACTGTAGGGAACTCTCCGTTCCCCGAACCGTTCCTAGGGGGATTGATACAGTTAGGCAGCAACCAGGACCTTAAAACGGGTTGGAAGCCCAGTCCTGCATTAGCCTGAATGTCTTTACCTTCTCATCCAGACCTCAGCCTGAAGAGGAATGACAGCTCTCAACTTCAGAATAAGTTTTTCCTAGTCAGGAAGCTCCGGGCCCAGACCTAAGGAGCAAGGACCACATAGATAAACTGCAGTTGGGCGAGGTGTCTTTTAAAGTCATCAAAATAGACGGTGAGACCCTGTGTCAACAAGAAAAGAAAAGGAGGGAAGGTGTGAGGGCTACAGCTCAGGGGTTGAATGCAAATGTGTAGAAGCCAGGTGACCCAGAGCTAGCTGCACCTGGGAACTGATTCCCTGCAAAGGCCCAGGCTCCAGGGAACAAGTCTTCCTAAGGGTTTTTGACTCCTTCCTTTCCCTGGAATGCTCAACTGCAGCCTGCACTTCAGTACCTTTTTTCTGTTCTGCCCACTGGCACAGTAAGCAGAGTGTACGACTGTTGTTTATTTGTATAACAGAATGTTGCACTGAAACCCAGGTTGTCCTGGAACTTGCTTTCTTCCTGCTTCAGTTCCCAAGTGCTGGGATTGCATGCATCTACCAACATACTCCACTCCAGAGTGGATATAATTTTTCATGTGTGAGTTTTTTGTGTTTGTTTTTTGTTTGTTTGTTTGTTTTGGAATAGTAAAAGGGGTGAGGAGGGGGTTAAGAAAAGATTTCATATAGCCCAGGCTGGCCAAGCACTTTCCACTCCTCTTCCTAGGAATATGACGAAGTTAATACAGTTTTTTAAAGACTGTTTTGTCGGGCATGGTGGCACACACCTTTAATCCCAGCATTCAGGGAGGCAGAGGCAGGTGGATCTCTGTGTGTTCAAGGCCAGCCTAGTCTACAAAGCAAATCTAGGCTACACAGAGACATCCTGTCTCAAAAACAAAACAAACAAAAAACCAAGACCATTTTGCACCCTGTTGCTCATGCTGGTCTTGAGCAACATAGGCCATTTTCCTGCCACAGTGGAACCACAACTGACCAAAATATACTTTTAAAATGACAGAAGATGAGGCAGGCAGTGGTGGCTCATGACTTTAACCCCAGTACTCAGGAAGCAGAGGCAGGCAGATCTCTGAGTTTGAGGCCAGCCTGGTCTATAGCACTCATTCTAGGACAGACAAGGCTATATGGAGAAACTGGCTCAAAAGAGACCGACAGACAGACAGATAGACAAACAGACTATGGAAAAATAAGTGTGGCTGCCCTTCATGCCCATGAAGTCCCATTCTCCAAGTCATTTTAGCGTTCAAGCTCCCTGACGTGGCCTTTCTGCTTCTGTCCCTTTCTGCCTCAGAGGTAGTGTTCCAGACCACAAAGAGCATGAAGACTTGAATCTTGAGAAGACTCAGTAGGTCAACACTTACTGCACAAATATAGGAACCTAAGTTAGAACACATGAAACCCCACGGAGAGCCCGTGCTCCTCTGGTGAGGTGGGAGGAGGGAATAGGAGAAGCTTATGGGCCAGCTGGCTTACCACACACAGTGGTGAACAACAAAGAGATTCTGTCTCAAACAAGTTGCAAGGCAAGGCCCAACACCCAGGGTTGTCCTCTGACCTCCACACGTGCTCAAGCACACAATCACACACACATGGGATAACGTCTACTCTGGATTTTTAGGAGTTAAACGCAAGGTAAATTCTCAGCATGGTTCTTGGCGCTTAGGAGATACACAGGAAATGGTATTTCCCTTGGTACCTGGAAAGAACCTACTCCAGAGCTCTCAAAGAATTGTCTTTCTTAAATCTTAGCTCAATGCTATGCCAAGACATTCTCGTTAAAGGAGGCAAGCCTCTGACCTAGGTAGAGAATCATAGTACAAAAAGAACTACTCACCTAGGTCCCCTTTCCCAAGACACACTGATTCTGAGTGCTGATCATCACAATTGTAGGTAGTAAGATGGCATTACTCCACAGCTCAGGTTCAGGGACTGAGGTCATCGGCTCTTTCTCCAAAATAGGTGACAGGGGTAGCGTTTTTGTAGCATCTCTATTCTACGCTACTGAAGCTATGGCTGCTTTTCCTGCATCCAGTTAAGGAACAGATTAAAGTTGCTGAGAAGGCTGGGTTGTGGACAGGTGTGCTGGCCAGTGCCTTTAATGGGAGGCAGAGGTAGGAGGAAAAGTCTGGCCTGGTTTACCTGGTCTATAGAGCAAGCTCCAGGAGAGCCAAAGCTGCTAGTGAATCCCTGTGTACTCTATCATAAACTACCTACTTCTCAAAGACTCACCTTACTGCTGATGGCAGTACCTATGGGCTTATTATGAAAACTGGATGGCAATACACACACACACACACAGACACACACACACAGACACCGAGCTTTTACTCACCAATCATTTTTTTGTTTGGTTGGGTTTTTGTTGCTGTGTTGTTCATTTGTTTTGTTTGTTTTCTCTTACTTCTGGGGAATGAAACCCCAAGGCTTCCTGCATGCCAGGCAGGCACTCCACCACAGAGACACTACCTTTCCAATACATAGTAGTTACGTCTCTTAAATGTCCATGGGGGGGGTCTAAATGGACCATGTGCAAAGAGCTTCAGCCTGTGCCTGGAACATGGCAGCAGTGCCCTCTACATATTGTTTCTCTACATAATAATAGTTTGCTGTGACCATGGAGAGGTCATGGTGTGTGACTGAGGTTATTGGTTTGGGTAGGATAGGGACACTTGTTATTTACTTCTTGTGGGAGCTGACAATGTCATCTCAGTAATTTTATTTTCTCCTTCTCTTCTTCATTTCTTTTAATGTTCTCTGAACCAGAACAAGTATTGGTAGATTAAATGAAGCCACCCACTTGGGTCCCAAACTCTATGGAGACTACTGATATTTTCCTCATTAGAAATCCTTCAAAAACTTAATCCAGCTTTAACTCAACAGGACATGCAAACAGACTCAGAGAGTCCTTCCCTCCCCATGATTTTTTTACAGCCCCCTGGGTTTCCTTATCTAAGAACCCTGCTCATAGAGGACTTAAGAAACACACACACACAAACCAAAACCCACTTTTCATTTCCAACTTTAATATTAAATCCCCACTGGATCTAATATGTGCAAATGCAAGACATGTTATCCCCCCAAGCACTCTAATCCAAAGGATTAAACCCAATAGCCAACCCCAGACCGTGGTCACTGCCATCGGGTGAGGAGGGCCATTCAGAAATCTGTTAGAAGGAGACTGGTGTGGCGGTTTCCATGCCACACTGTAGGAGGGCCTCTAACTGAATTTTAAAAATGTACTGAGTTCACAGAAAAGAGAATTAAGTGTAGCAGGGGCTCCCTCTGAACATTAATCTCAGAAGCCAAATCCTTCATTTTGTGAAGGGCCTTCAATACAGGAGTCCCTTGACCTTCGTCCCTCTTGCACAAATAGCTCTGCCAAAGACTGCCCTGCTGAGAGGGAGGGAGCACTAATGTAAATTATAGGCCCTTAAAGGCCCACTCCGGACCAAGAAGTGGTTTTGTTATGGCAGCAGACGCTATTAACTCCTTTGTATCTCTTTAAGACTTATTCCCTCACCAGATCTCCAGAATTCTGTTTATTTTATAATGGAAAACAGCCCCACAAAAAGAAAAAAAGAAAGCTCTATCGTCAGGCAGAACTTATCAGGAAAGACTGCCAACAAGAACTTGCTCATATTTACCAACAGCTTATTAGAG